TTGGCCCCGGCGTGACGGAGTGAAGGGGGTGCCTTTCGCTTGCGGGTAGTCTACTTCGCAGGGGCTGGTGGCGGGGCGTAGTGTACCGGTTTTTCATTGGAGGCGCGCCCTGGGCCGACGCGGCGTGGCCTTTGGCCCCGGCGTGACGGAGTGAAAGGGGGTGCCTTTCGCTGGCGCAAAAAATGTCAAGAGTGGGATTCGAACCCACGATCCCATACTGGGAAGCAGACGTGAGTCTACCGCCTTAACCACTCGGCCATCCTGACATCTTATGCTTAGGCCTTACGTGGTCCGGTCTGATGGCATTGTACAGTATATTGAGTATGTGCCTTCCACGGTTGGGTCACACAGGTGCAGCCTCTTGGTTTCCCAGAGCCCGGGTGCTACCAGAAAGTAATCACTTGTCTGCATTGTTTTTTTTTTTTGTTTCTTTTTCGTGCGATGCGCTACCTATGGGGGAGGAGTTTTGCCAAAGTCACAGGTGTTTAAGTGTGCTATTAGTCCCTTCGCTGAGTGTGGGGAACAGGGGCACCGGGAGTAGGGTTCTGACTCATTATAAGACAATCATCGTCAGAGGTATGGGTCGCTGGAGTGCTGGAGGCTGTGCCCCCGTGGATAGCCACAGTCATTTGTTTGTTTTGACTTTGGGGCGGCTTGGCCTGGCTCGGCTGGTATGGCGCGACGGATTTGAAAATTGGAAGGTGAAAGGTGCCCTCCCGTGAGAGGTATGGCGGCACGAGTTCCATTGGCTGGAGATACGGTGTGCGAGACAAGGAACACAAACTTCGGGGCGGTTTGTGCCGTGGAGGGTGGAGCCCGTATGGCTCGGCTCCGCTCGGACCCAGCTCGGCTCCGCTCGACCCCGCGAGGGCCACTACGCTCGGCTCTGCGCGGCTCGGCTCGGCACTGCTCGGCCTGGCGCTCAGTATCAGCGAGTTCGCTGCCGTTCATTCGTTGAAAGGCGACCGACGCGACACGAGGTCCACCCTGGACCTTCATCTTTCTCTGCACGTGCTTACTTGCACTTGACGCGTTATTTTGTCCGTCTCGACGGGAGCTTAAAATAACTTTGAAGTGTTGTATTGAACTCGCTGCATTTTTCAGCGGTAGCAGTTTCTTTTGTACAGGTGAGGATAAAATGTGAAAATTTGATTGAGTTGTGAATGGGCAGGGATGTGAGAAGCACTACAAGAATATGTCAATGATTTATTTATTTTGTTTCCATTTGTTTAGCAGCAGAGGGAACATTAAATTACGACTTATGGCCTATTAAAATATTTGGTAACGGAAGGGCGACACAGCACAGTGCCCTATCAGATTTGACAGCGCCACCGGTCGTCGACTCGCTGCGTCGCGAGAACCGTAGTCTTCGCATCGTGCCCCAGCCGACATTTACCCGGGATCATTTTTGTGACATCTACTATGGCCTCTGCAGATGTAACACAAAAGCAATCAAGATACATACACGCTAAACAATACCCTATTGGAACAGACACATATGTAGTCATCGGGAATGAACCTGGAAATGGATTTGACGTTTACTTTGAAATTGTCAATCATGTTGGTCAGCGGTGCGCTCGATGCACGCATACTGAGGCCTTAAGTCTGCTGACTCTAAATATTATAGATGGGGCAATTGATTTCTTGTACAACCATTCTGATAATCCAAACGCAGTAGTTGATTTAGGAACACTTATCGTTCCGAAATTGTCTTACTCGTCTTACAATACTTCATGGCAATTGTTTTTCCTTGACAAGCAGAGGCAAACAGAAGTTTGTATTGATGACGAAATGTGGCGACGCCTTAAAAAACTCAGGCTTGTACTTTGTGCACAAATAAAATATAACGTGTCACTTAGGGACACTTTCTTCCATTATGATGATGTTCTTAAGGCTATTGCAAGGGAAATGAAGGAAACAAATATAAAATTTGCATATTATGATCGTAAAAGTATTATCACTAATTTGTACCTCAATAAAGTAGACAAGCTTGATTATAGAGAACAAGTAATGTTGCTAGAACTACTAAGCTTTCATAAAAATACATTGCTGTGGGACTTTAGAATGTGTTTCGAGGCTGTTTGTAACGAAGATGATTGATTTTGTATGCACCTAACACAATAAAATAAACATTTTTGATAACATGATTTTTCTTTGTTTGTCAAGTGTGTGTGTGTGTGTGTGTGTGTGTGTGTGTGTGAGAGAGAGAGAGAGAGAGAGAGAGAGAGAGAGAGAGAGAGGGGTGGGTTATCTACGCACACTAAACCCTTATGCGATGCGTTGTGCATAAACATGCAGAATTTTAAGGTAAGTGTGCACAAATTTTATGCATAAATACGTACAAATCATACATAATTCGACACAAATTGTGTGCATAGATATGCATAAAATTTTGCATAATATTCTGCATGATATTATTGCGGCTTAAAATTCTGCATGTTTATATATGCATAAGGACGTGGTTTTGTATAATGCTCATCTTTTAAATCCGTACTACAGAATGAACGGAGAGTGAGTGAGAACGCTTTTCACATTTTTAATATTAAGCAACTTGTATTTATTCATTTAGGAAACAGCTGTATGTAACTAATATGCTAATTACAATGAACTCCAAGTATTATTATGCAAACCATGTCAAAGATTCATAGCCACTCCCATCACCTTCTTCGCAAAATGCAGAAAGTAAGCAAAAATAGCGTTGGGAATAAAAATACACAGTAAAAATATATACAGAAATGCATACCCTGTCACATCTACTTCAGCACTAACAATAACAGTCTCTGGTTGGGCATCTGTAAACATAGCCAACTAAATTTAACAATACTATGAGAACACTTTTCATATTTTTAATACTAAGCAATTTGTATTGATTCATTTAGGAAACAACTGTATGTATGTAACTAATATTCTAATTATAATAAACTCGAAGTATTATTTTCCAAACCATGTCAGAGATTCATAGCCGCTCCCATCACCTTCTTCGCAAAATACAGAAAATAAGCAAAAATGGCGCCAGGAATAAAAATACACAGTAAAAATATAAACAGAAAAACATACCCCGTCACATCTACTTCAGCACTACTAACAACGGTCTCTGCTGGTGGGTCTCTGTAAACATAGCCAACTAATTTAACAGTACTATGGGGGTCGGGACTCAAGCCTTTTAACAGAACAACAGTGTCTCCGCTATAAGTAATTAATTTTCGCCCTTGAAGATTAGTGCTTTGAGACATTAGTGTGCCGTTGCTCTTGGACTTAAAAACTACTGGTACTGGCCTCTTGGAAACCACGAAGATCTGACGTCTACCGTGCAGGATAAATGGGCGATCGCCGCGCAGAGACTCAATATGGCATACGCTACGAAAATCGACTCCGTCGCGGTAAAGCCCTTCGGCACATAGTGAGGCGGTTCGCTCAGGGGGCTCACCAGCGCAGCTCAGGACAGCACCATCCGGTACAGCCAGAGTCAAAAGATGGGTTTCGTTAAAAATTATGGGCACCGGAAATGCAAGGGTGTCGCTACAGACGACGCCCACGTCTAAGTACATAGTTAAAATAACTTCCCTAACGCTACGGTGTATGCCGAGCGGAG